AGGATTACCTCAAGACTAATAGATGTCTATGGTGTTTATATCGATTTTTATTTTGATGCATGTTGTACACAACGATGAGAGTGTTGAATGGTATGATGTCGTAGAACAACATTTTAAAACTTTTGCAAATGGGGTAACATAATGCATGTTTTGACTTATACCTCTCCATGGCCTGGTATAATCATTCAAGCAATCAACTTCTTTTGGTTAATATCATTCGTTAGTGAGAATATTGCTCGCTCTTGCTCTTTCTACTGTGTAGTTGATCATCCAAAATCAGATGAGTTTTCTTCACTCCATCAAGGTAACACTCTAAGGAAAGTTTACTCGGAACCAACTTTACATGATGTTGTCCTGAGGGATATCATGCAACTTTTCATTTACATTTATTCGAATTTTACATCCCGCTGCATTGCGCGGGTACACAACTAGTAAATATTAAATATATTGATTTTTGTTATATTTTACGGCATAGCTATTTACTTGGTTATTTAACAAAAGTGAATGATGACAGGGGCCGACATAGTACAAAAGCAATAATAAAGTACTTAAAATGTCAATTTAGAAATTGAAGAGTTGAAATTGTCCAATGACAATAAGTTGAAGGGGAAGTTTTTGTACTTAAAACGCCCCCAAATCAACATCAAGAATTTTAATAAACGAGTGGGTGGGTCTATACTCTATTGTAACGATCAAGTCTGAACTACAAGGCGAACACACCATGTCGTACATGTGATGTGGTGAGATAGAGGAGATCAATTTCACAAAATTTGAAAGCCTGATACGTCTCCAACACCATGTTTTCACCTAACCAACAGGTATCAATTTTCTAGGGTTCGCATTTCTTGTTTTTCGTTTTCAACATATCATATACATGCACATACATATATACATATATATATATATATATATTTGTTGTGTAAATTCCCCAAATTTGTGTAGGAGAATACGCGTTAATTGATATGATTGGTATTCGAATATCTTAATTTTTGGATTTTTATGTGGGTTTTCATGAAATTTTAGAAGATCATAAAATGTGTTTCGTCAGGGGAGAATGAAAGGCTTGCTTACTTCAGATAATTTACTATTTTGGTGCCAAGTTCCTTCCCATTTTTCAATTTCTTCAAAACATTTCTTGTCAAACTTTATGAAGCACTGCTTTCCAATCTGTTTTGCTTTCATCAAACAACCGCTCTACTATTTTGGATAAACAACATATTTGACCCTACGAGACATACCCGGATGTGTTTGGTTTGATTTAATTTCATAAAAGTATAGTTCAAGCCAGGGCATGGGTGAAGGCATCATCAGGCTTGAATTGCTACATAGATATATAATGGATGAATGGCAAAAATGCTTTTGAAGCATCAACGGAAGAAGTGAGATGGAATTGTTATTGGGGCTAACCAAGTTGCGATCATTAGCCTTTCGAATTTGGAGCAACTGCTATCATATGGTAGATTTTAGATTATTTTCTGGGTGCACTTAGGGCTCATATTGGTATGTGAGTCCTTGGCCTACTAGGAGGTCAAGTTTCAAGCCTCACCAAAGATGAGGAGGTGGGTGTGAGTTTATTTGTTTTACTTTTTGTTTATAAATATTATATACTTCAAAAGAAAAACTTGAAAAAGTTTTAGAAAGAGGATTTTGCAGGAAATCTTTGGTTCTAAAAGTTGGACATAAGGTTGAAAGAGAGAAAGAGAAATAAACTACAAAAAAATGGTAAAAGAACAGGTTAGAAATAGAATGTAGATCACTGCTCATTAGTGCATGCTAAATAGAGTAGAAACTGTGATGGTCAAAGAAGAGGGATGACTTGATAAGCATGCTTTTCAAGTGACCCTGTCTGCGCTTTCATTGCTGATCACCCACATTGGCATCTGATCCTTGAATACAAGTCAGGGTTTGATTTTTTGTAGTCGAGGGATCCAGTTGAGTGTCCTATCATGGTTGCTTTATAACTCCACCGTAGCTCCTTGGACTCTATGAGAATCGGGGTATTTCGTTTAATAGTTCAGTCTTTCGTGGCCTCTGGTCTACTCCGACCTTGCCATCTTTACTAACAGCATATTCACATTCTACATCTCTTACAAAGACGGCTTTCTACTTTCAGATGCCAGTACATGCAAAGCTGTTAAATGTGCAAGTCCCGTCAGCAATCAACTATGTTGGTCAGAACGACTCATCTCATGTTGCTACAGATGGAGTGGCAAACAGTGCACTCTCTCAGGCAGAATCACTTGTTTATTCTTCGAAGGTTGTTTAGCGCATCTGGAGCAGTAACAGTTACTTCCAATTATTTTATCATTTTTATCAATATCACGTTAGAATATTTTTTGCTTTGTGCTAATTGCAAGTTGTTGGCCACTTCTGACTTCACCAATCGGATGAATGCTTTCTAGTTTCTGCACCTTTTAGTAGTAAGACTTGTCATGTTTGTTAATCTTTGCAGAAACTTGAGAATGAACTGCTAATGCTAGGACAAAATATAAAACATCATGAAGAAAATATCAAATATCTGAAGACTCGTATAAACAGCTTAGACGATCAAATTACAGATATGCAAGGTATAGTGTCCTAGTCTACTGTCTATGCGCTCTGTAAATTTTCCACAAGTTGGTGTGTGGAAGACCCATGTGTAAATGGATAGGCTAGTCATGGGTGGAACCTTTTTTGAAAACCTTAGCAGCATAAAGTTTTTTTTAATGCTTTTTAAATAGCTGTACGTGTTTGCACCATGCTTCTGAAACTTGTTTCTCATGTCATGTAATCTCTAAGTTACTCTTGGAACTCCTCGTATCTCAAGTGCACCTATGACAGAAGATGAGGATTTCTCCCACAAGCGGGATGAGCAGGCAACAGTTGAGCATCTAATGCAGCATGAGAAATCAGCTGCTGGCATTGTTTGCCAAATGAAGTATCTTGGCACTCAGGCTGATCCGACTTCTTCTAGTCACAATGTCCTAGGTGTTGTTGCTACTCTTGGCAAAGTTAGCGATGATAATCTTAGCAGGTTAGTTACATTAATCAATCACATGTAAAGTAATATATACACGGATTTCTGGGGAAATCATTGCTGGCATGTGGAGGCACATGTGCTATTTTCTTAAAAAATTTCAATGCTCACTAATTTCAAACTTTTATGGGGACCAGGCTTCTATCAGAGTACCTTGGCCTAGATACTATGTTAGCATTAGTTTGCATGACAAATGATGGTGTTGAAGCTCTGGAAACTAATGACAAAGAAGGCTTTCCAAGTAAAAGCTTTGGACTTCATGGGCTTGGTGCTTCAACCGGAAGGACCATGGACGGTGTGATCTGTCTTGAAAATTTGAGGTTGTTTCCTAACTTCTCAGGAAAATAATTCTTGATATATGTTCTGATTTGTTTGGCTTCTTTTTCTGCTTTTGTTTTTGGATTCAGACCATATGTTGGTGAGTTTATGCCTGATGACCCACAAAGGAGGCTTGCTCTTTTGAAACCAAAGTTACCAAATGGTGAATCTCCAGCAGGGTTTCTTGGGTTTGCTGTAAATATGATTCATTTTGATAATGCACATTTGAATACTCTCACAACTGATGGACATGGGATTAGAGAGACTCTTTTCTATACTCTCTTCTCGAAGTTGCAAGTTTACAGAACCAGAGCACACATGCTACAGGCACTTCCTTTTATATCTGATGGAGCCATATCGCTGGACGGTGCCATTATAAGGAGAAATGGTGTATTTGGTTTTGGAAATCAGTAAGAAATTAGATATCGTCAAACTTTTGAAGTTCTGCTTTGTTTCACCTACATAGGTTACTGAAATCATTAAAAAGTGTGTTATTATCCAAACTTCAATTTTGCTTATAATGATATCTTGCTGTTGAATTATATGTTTCATTGATCTGATTTAGGGAAGAGATGGATGTTAAATTTGCAGTAAGATCTTACCCACCAGAGAACTTGGTTGAAACTGAAAAGCAGATGAAGAAGTTGAAGCAGAAAAAGGAAACAACAACGGAAGATCTGCAGAGGGAAGAAGCATTCTTAGCACATGTCAAGTACAATTTCGAAGTTAAGAAGCAAGAGTTTGTTAGGTTCATGGCACAAAGCTCACCGTATGCCATGCAGGTAAAATATCCATGTGCCCATCCAAATTCAAGATTCTCTACTAATTGAAATATAAGACAAGTTGATTGAAGACCCTTCAATAATGAGAATATTATTGAAATTTTGCTTTGAATATTTTGTAGTACCCAATTCAAGCAACTCCAAGGAGATCGACTCCTAGATGATGATGACTCGATGAAAGCAGGTAATACATGAAAAGATGCTTTCTGATCACTCAAAATAGGCGAGTTTTTAGTTTGTTATTGGGGAAGATGCTGATGCATTCTTGTGGGTTCTTGAAAACAATGATGTGATTAGTCTATTGTTGCCCACCAGACAACTGTAACTGTTGGTGCATTGTTTTCATCTTTTCTGGGCTTCAGAATCAAGATGCTAATCTTGATCTGTAGGTATTTTCCAAGTTTTGGTCATGTTTGTACGGAAGAACGTGGACATCCAACAAGGGCTTAAGAGTAATTTCCATGGACTTCCTCACAGTGTTCTTGTTATTTGATCTAATTCTCTACATGGCAATATGGCATATTGAACTTGACCAAGGGAAATTAAATTTGCGTGGAAATTGATGTACTTTATTTTGATTTTGATTTGGAGCATAATAAAAAATTGATCCAAAGTCAATCCACCAGAATCCACAACATAGATGAAGGGCTATTTTTTAAAATCTCGTAATAAACGTTCTTACTAAGTTCGGGAATCTTACAATAACCAATTTCATTAAGAGATTTTGATCGAGTAAGAGATAGGGCTGCTTTTTTTTGGTAGCCGTGGGTGTTCAAATCAGATACTGATGATTCCTAACTTTTCATTTTCATAGTACCCATAGTCCCTCAATTTAACACCGTTAGTTTGACCTTTTTGTTCTTCTTCCCCCACCTTTCTCTTCCTTTACAGACTCCCTGAGAAGCACTCTGGTAACTGATCATTTTGTAGGTGAAGGCAATGCGTTCCCCGGTCTCTCTTGGCAATAGTTTACCTTTCTAATGTTCTGCCTTGATGAGTGGGAGAGGTAAGCCAAATTAGGATATCACTACTGGCATAGACTGCGTAAGAAGTTGCGATCCTAAAATTAACTAGAAAATGAACCACCCATTACCAAATTAGACTCCGAGTTTAATTAACGCAGCTAATCTGTCAGTCGTGTTGGGTCTGCCGCTCAGTTGAAAACTATGAAACAAGTCTGCGGTAGTTCAAAACTGGAATTGGCACAATTACGTTTATTAGAAGTGGACAATCGAGTGGTTGTACCGGCCAAAAGTCATCTATGTATCACCAGACATCCCTCACCGCTAAATAATAGGTACCACCAGGCGACCATTTTGTGCAGTACAAGGGCACTTGAGTCAGTCGCTAGTGCGCGACAACATCTTGACCCCTATCCAGTTTTTGGGCATTGTGTGGAGGAAGAAGAACAAAAAGGTCAAACCAATGGTGTTAAGTGGAGAGACCGTGGATGTTGTGAAAATGAAAAGTTAGGGATCATCAACGTGGATAGTTTGTTTTAGGGACCAAATTCAAAATTTAAGCAAACGACAAGGACCACCAGTGTAATTAAAACAAAGTCTTTAAAAATAAAGGTTCTACCGAGAATTGAACTCGGGTTACTGGATTCAGAGTCCAATGTCCTAACCGCTAGACCATAGAACCAATTTGTGTTGTAGTCATGAAACTTAATAATAAACAGTCAATGAAGCATACCAGCCGCCAAAACCACTTTTTTGTGTTTATATAGGTCTTAAGTCGCAGACACGATATGATTTTTATTTGATAATAACATGAAAAGGTTACAATCTGGTTAAAAATTGTGAATATTTTTATACAAAGTTCTAAAAATATGAATCGTTAAGAAATCTTTAATGGTAATACTAAATTTTTACATCAAATTTATAAAATTGGTGTAAAATCTAGTGTAAATAATAAATCTTTTGTAATGAATAACACCAAAATATAAGATTAAGTGTATTTTTCATCTCCTCTAAATTTTGTGTGTTATTATTTATTACACCAAAATTTGTCTCCTTTGAAGTGATTTAGAACCAAATTCTCACCACCAAGAGTTACCATCCTTACTTACCTTGTTGGTAACATTTTTTGCTATTAAAATGATTTTTCTTGTAATCTAATCGTATCTTACACGGTAAGTGCTAATCAGATAATAGTTTTTATTCCTTATTTATCGAGTAAGAACCTTGGTTGCTATTATGTTTTCGTACCAGGTAACATTCTACTTCTTTGCCATTGTCACCGATAAACTTTTGGTAAACAACACCTTAATATCAAATTTGGTATTTGTTGTAAAATTTGTTATCCTCGTTAGAGATTATCTTGTCATCAAATAGATATAGAAGCAGAAAACAAGTTCATTATGAAACAATGGAAAACCTTATTTGGATTTGCCCAAGATCTTTGGAAAGTTTGATCTGTCTTAATTTTCCCTTTATCCGAGTGATCTTTTCTTCGCCAAATTGCCCGAAGCTTATGCTTTTTTGAATCTAATCGTAGTAAATCCATTTTTTATCCTTGTGGAAGTCCGCATTTTGGCCGAATCCTTTTTCTTTTCTGTTCAATAAAAAAATGAAAAAATATAATTCCATTTCATGTCAACACATATCCCTTTTCTTATTATTTGATAGAGCTTCTTAATATATACCTATGAATTCCATTAGAGTGCTTCTTTAGGAGTTAAACTTTCATTTGTCCACATTTCAAGAAATAGTACCTCTGCGAACTTCTGTGTATGGGTACTTACCATGTCAATTGGCTATTAACGGCATCCCAAAAACATCCAGGTCAAAATATGACTTTCAAATTAAGTTCCGAAAAATATGACCAAAATAATTAAGAGAGCTCTTCATTGTCACCTTCATAACGAGCGGTGGCTTAGGGTGGTGATGCCAACAAATACAACTTGTAATGATATATATATATATATATATATATATATATTTATATATATCAACCATCGCAATACAAACAACCTCACTCACATGATATTCTAAAGACAATATGGAGGTTATCTCGAGTAAGCTCACGATGCCAAAGTTTGGAGCCAAAAAGAGCTCGAGTTCATCATAAAAATAAAGTCATTATTCTACCGGGAGTTATGTCGTTACATATAACCTGTAACGTAATTTTTACCATTTAATTCATGATAATTAATAGAATGGATGCTTAAAGTTTACTAGGTATCGTATTAAAACAAGAATTATACTTGGGAAAAAAAAAAGTCCAAAATAAGAAATGGTTTTTTACAAAGATAAAACCAAATAATAAGACTCTCTTGTGAGTTTAATAATTTTGATATCGCAATTGTATACGAAACTCTAACCATGGAATTGGAAAAATGTTTGACCAGAAAGTCAAAATACGAATGCATCTCTCTATTCGTGTTCTCTAGTTCTCCATATGCGTCTATTTCCGAGAAGGAATAGTCCATACCACTTCCATACTCGCTACTCATTTCTCCGATCCCGCTTCTGAATCCATCACCGACCACATCTCGGAACTTTTGCCCATCACAAAGACTACGTCTTTTTCGAGGTTCGATTCTGTTTTCATAAGTTTTTGCATGCTAATCATTTAATTTGAATGTGTGTTCCATCAACGAATTGATTTGTGTGGGTTTTATAGTAAGGTTTTTAATCCGATTAGGTTGAATCGATTTCTTTTTTTTATTTTATTGTTATTCTCCGTCATTGACAAAACCGAGGGATCCACTGTGTATCATTCATTATACGCAACTTATTGCATTTGTTTCTGTTGTACTGGCTTTGGATTATTAATGTTGTGTGTGCCATTCATTAATGTTATTGTAATGTACTTGCCTCTAACTTCCCTTCTTTCTGCGATTGTGATTCTTCGTGAAGTGCAAATTGTGGGCAAGTTGGTTCCTTCTTGGGTGTTTGGGCCTACAAAACCTAATAACTTTTCTCACTCAATCAAACTCCAATCAGGAACAACAAGATTCTAACTAAATAGAACCCTTTTTTATTCACTTTTTGGGTATATGGTTAGCTATGAAGTCATAAGTTACAGTTGTTTGGAACTAAAATTAGCTTATCCTCAACATTAACATTTCTGGTAATTAAAAAGTTGTACTTTTATTCATCCGTGATCTCTTCAAGAATTACATTAGTTCTTGTGTGCACAAGTGTTAACTAGCTATTGGTTTTAGTATCCTAATTGGGTTCTGATATAATAAATACACAGGTTTAAATTGAATATGTTCATGTAGCTTTATGTCTCTGAATTATTCAACTCTAAATACTCTTTTCTTGATGTAATTCAACAACTTGAGACTATTATATAGTACTTTGGTTTATTATACTTTTACCATGCGATCACTGAGCTTGTTGCATATATTAGTAGTCAAATGTATAAATTAATTTGTTAATTCATTTATACTCACATCCACATTGACTTATGAATTGTGGTTGATTTTCTTCTGCAGGATCATATATCTAATGAGTAGGTGATTGCCTAGGAAGCTCAACTTCTGTGTGATTCAATCCACTGACACATCCAAGAAGATATATGGATGTCACAATCACTATTTGGCGGAATTAAGTTGTTGCTGTGCAGAATCATGTTCTTGAACTCTATAGTGTTGTTGCTATCCTGAACACGTCAATTCGATCACTTCTTTCTGATGCAATCCGGTGAAACAAGTGAAAATAAGAAGTTGAAATACTCCAATAATTCGACTTGCAAGATGACTCAAGCAGACCCTGCTCTTCCTAATAGTACTGATGGTCAAGTTTCTTTTCCAACTGAGAAGATCGTGCAGTACCCATTACCTGGTTATGGTTCTCCAACATCGGTTACTTTTAGTCCTGATGACAATCTTATATCTTACTTGTTTAGTCCCGATCAAACACTGAACAGAAAAGTCTTCATCTTTGATCTCACAACTTGTAAGCAAGAACTGTTTTTTAGTCCTCCTGATGGCGGGCTTGATGAAGATAATTTATCAGAAGAAGAGAAGCTTAGGAGGGAAAGGTCAAGAGAACGTGGTTTGGGAGTGACACGCTATGAATGGGTGAAAACAAGCTCTAAGAAGACCACAATTATGGTGCCTTTGCCTGCCGGGGTTCGTATCCGTGTCTGTTGTACAATGAGCAAGTTATATGACCTAGTTTTTCTTCCCTAAACAGGCTTCATGTATCAGATTGCTGCTTTGTTTATTTTCTTACTACCACCACATAGTCTGCTTATATTAGTTGGAATTTTTATTTTCCCATTATTTATCACTTACTTTTGTTTTTGCACAGATATATTTCATGGATCGTTCTTTACAACCACAGCTTAAGCTTCCTAGTGATTCCTATCCAATTGTTGATCCTCATCTTTCTCCAGATGGTACTATGCTTGCTTATGTAAGAAACAACGAACTACATGCATTAGATCTTTTGTACAACAGGTCAAAACGATTGACATCTGGCGCTAATGGGAGCACCAAGGTTAGCAAACTCTACATTTAACTGCATAATTAACAACATGAAAAGAGTTCTGTTGGTAGTATGATTTTATCTTTACAATGCAGTTCTACCATATGGCCTTGTTCACCCACTCAAAGCCCAGTGATCTATGGTACTCTTTGATATACAATCATGAAGTTGGTGGTGCGATTTTCAGATAACTTGGCATTATGAGTTTTACTGTGATCTTCTCATAATTAATTGGTGAAGTCAATAGATAGATAGATGGATAGATAGATGGATAGATAGATAGATAGATAGGGGGTGATCACTTTGCAGTTTTGTTCTAGTGTCTTCAACAATGATCTTTTTGGCAATTCAACACACGCGTATGGGAAGTGTGGGTAACTCTTAGAAAAAGGTGATGTACACTAAAAACCCCAAGAAGACTACAGGTTGAAATTATCTCTTGGAGGACTCAGATACCTTCAGTGTATTCAATGCTGAATCAGTAGCCTATGAATGTGTTATATTTTGTGAGGAAAAGCTGGAAGCACCAAGTTAGTTGTCGAAAAAATGAGGGTTATGCTAGCAAAGGCACAAACATTGTTATGTCAACCCCTTGCTAAGAATAATGATGTGCGGTAGAAATCCGTGTGCACATAAGCCAATCTTTTGAAGGATTTGTGTGATTCTAAGCCAAATTTGACTGCTTAGACAAAGTTTAGCATTCTCTGTAGTTCTTTAACTAAAATCTTCTGCCCTGATTATATCAGAGAATTTTTTTGGCATGGATGTCTTATTTCCTGACTGCATATCATGCCATACCAGTTCTGTTTGATATTTATTTCAGCACATGCAAAATTTTACTATTTCTGATTAGTATGTCAGATAGACATGACATTGACTTTTTGGTGTTTATTACAGACGCATGCTGTTGCCGAGTACATAGCTCAGGTAAAATTCTCATTCCATTAGCCCACCCCTGAGACACACCCACCCACTCACCCGAAGTGCTTATATTAATCATGAGCTTCTTCATGTGCTTTTCCTGAGAAACAGTGTGAAGAATTTAAGATGTATATTTGAAAGCAAGCAATCAAACTCTTCACATAGCTGAATAAGAAGATAGGATAGCCATCTCTGAATTTGTTAATTAGCAATGATACCCAGGTTTCATGTGTGTAAATTGTAGGAAGAGATGGATAGAAGGAATGGCTATTGGTGGTCACCAGACAGCAAATGCATAGCATTTACTGAGGTGGATTCATCTGAGATACCTCTTTACAGGATCATGCACCAGGGTAAGAGTACAATTGGTTCAGAGGCTCAAGAAGAACATGCTTACCCTTTTGCTGGGGCCTCAAATGTCAAGGTTCGTCTCGGGGTGGTTCCTGTTATTGGAGGACCTGTGACTTGGATGGATCTTTGCTGCGGGGGGAATGAAGATGATGAATATTTGGCCAGAGTTAACTGGATGCATGGAAATATCCTCATTGCACAAGTATTAAACAGGTCTCATTCCAAACTGAAGATCCTCAAATGTGATACTAAAACAGGCCAGGGAAAATGTATCTTCGTTGAAGAACATGACAAGTGGGTCAATCTACACGATTGCTTCACACCTTTGGATAAAGGAGGTGGTTTTATTTGGGCTAGCGAAAAAACAGGGTTTAGGCATCTTTATCTGCATGATGAAAATGGGGTCTGCCTGGGACCCTTGACACAAGGTGAATGGATGGTAGAACAGATAGTAGGGGTTAATGAAACCTCTGGTTTTATATATTTCACTGGAACTCTAGATGGTCCTCTGGAGTGCCATCTGTATCGTGCTAAACTGCTCCCACAAAATCCATTAGAAAGCCCAGTGAAGTTGACCAGTGGCAAGGGAAAGCACGTGGTGGTGCTCGATCATCAAATGCAGAAATTTGTAGATATTCATGATTCTCTGGAATCGCCTCCTAGAGCATCCCTTTGCTCTTTGCACGACGGAAGCCTGATTATGTCTCTTTATGAGCAACAAGCGTCTACAATTCCAAGGGTTAAGAAGCTGCAACTCGAACCTCCAAAGATTTTTCAAATTCAAGCAAAAGACGGTACCATTTTATACGGAGCATTATATAAACCTGATGAAGGGAAGTTTGGACCACCACCATATAAAACTATGGTTGCGGTCTATGGTGGTCCTGGCGTACAGCTTGTCAGTGATTCTTGGGCGAACACGGTTGATATGAGGGCTCAGTATCTTAGAAGTAAAGGCATCCTAGTGTGGAAGGTTAGTCCTCAACCTTAGCTAGTATTCTAGATTGTACTATGTGAATCATTAATGTGCTTTTAGGGTCCGTTTGGTACGCTAGACATGACCGAATAAAAAAACTTGTTAGACAGGATTGAATGGGACAAAAATGCGTCTTTTTAACAAAGTACAGGAAGATAGGACAAGATTGATAAATTACTAAATTACCCATTCATATTAAAACCCCTAAAACCTTGTCCAATTCTTTCACCCACCTATCTCATTCTCGTCCAGTGCTATCTAGTCTGCATACCAAACGACCCTTATCTTGATAGCAGTGTGTTGTTTTGGTTTTGCATGAAATTGATAAAAATTGTCTTTCTCCAGATGGATAACAGGGGTAGTTCTAGGCGAGGACTAGCATTTGAGGCTGCAATGAAGTACAACTTTGGACGTTTTGATGCCGAAGATCAGGTTGCTGGAGCCGAATGGTTGATGAAAGAAGGGCTGGCAAAAGCCGGTCATATTGGACTCTATGGATGGAGCTATGGAGGATACCTCTCTTCCATTACGCTGTCAAGGTTTCCCAATGTTTTCAATTGTGCGGTTTCCGGTGCACCAGTGACCTCATGGGACGGATACGATTCTTTTTACACCGAAAAGTACATGGGGATGCCGAGCGAGAACAAATCAGGTTATTCATTTGGCTCGGTGATGAGCCATGTGGGTAAGCTGAATGGGAAGCTGTTGCTGGTTCATGGGCTGATCGATGAGAATGTTCACTTCAGGCATACGGCTCGGCTCGTGAATGCGTTGGTGGGTGCTCGAAAAGCTTACGAGTTGTTAATATTCCCAGATGCTCGACATATGCCTCGCCCTCTTAAGGATCGGCTTTACATGGAGGAAAGAATTTGGGACTTCATTCAAAGGAGTTTATGAAGGAATTCTGATACTATTTCATTTGCAGTGTTTTTATATATTCCTTTCTCTACACCATAAAAAGAATTGCAGGGTTTTTCTTTCTTAATTTTATGACCAAGTCGTTATTTATTATATTACAAAATGGTACTTTTAATATTTCTATTTTCAGTTTCATATATATTTTAATAAAATTAAAATATTCTTAAATCTGATTTTTTTTTTTTTAAATTATAAGTAGTGGCTTTCAAATTTAGTTATTTCACATGTAGTTTTATAAAGCATTTGTATGATCCATGCTCACGTCATGCATGAAGTCATACATTTAAAATGATTTTTATATTTTAAATATTCAATTAAATACTTTCTTGATAAAAAAAAATTAGGGAATAACCCATCTCTTAAACCAACTTCATCTTTTAGCACTTTTTAAGAGGATTCTTATTCTAGCCAAAGTTTACTCTAATGTCTTGTGTATTTACGTAAAACTTATTTTCAGATTAAAACTGAAAAAGAAAATCTTTACGCAAATTTACGTTAAAAAATTGCGTAAGGATCCCATTTGCGTAAAAAAATTCTTTTCTTTTACTAATCTGGAAATAGGCTTTACATAAATGCGTAAGCCATTTGTATAAACTATGACTAAAATAGATATATGGTTCCAAAAATAGCTAAAAAGGTAAATTCGGTTGGAAAATTTGTCTATTTCGATCAAGTTCCTTACATCTTCTTCTAAATTATATGGTTTAAACTTAGATTACACAAACTGTTAGGGATTGTGCACGGACCGGACAAAACTCAAGCATCGTGTCGGAAAGCACTTTCTGAATTAAGAATTCGACCCTATTAGCCTTGGGTTCGCAAATTTCGTATTGGGATAATTCTTGAGGTTATTCTGTCGTTTCCAAAGGCTGTGAAAAATGAGATATCTACCCAGATTCTCGTTTTACATATTTAAATGAGATATCTACCCAGATTCTCGTTTTACATATTTAAATGAGAGATCGACGGTTATTGACGTTTTATTGGTGGTTTCACGATTATAACCGTTAAAGGATGAGTTCAAAAACCAATTACAACCAAATTTGAAATTTTGAACCAACAAACACGTACCATCATTTAGGCTCTTCAGCGACAACAACCACAACTGAAGACACCTTCAACGACAACTGAAGGATGTTAAGCGACAGCCAAGCTCACACGTTTAGTGGTGGCTCGGTGATAGCTGAATACACACGACCATTGCTCAGGGGCTCAACTCCTTGGAACCCCACCAGGGGTGACCCTGCAAGGGGGCGCAACCCTCTTGACCTTCACTTTATAGCGATCTAAGGTGATAGGGCAACATTTGTAAACATGCACTCTGCACCTCCTAACTTACGTATGCTTGCCTCATCGTCTGAATCAATCTCAAATAAATCACAATTACACCAACATGCTTTATGACACTAAACCCACCAACACAAACAACATTCAATTTTTATTTTTATTTTTATTTTTATTTTTATTTTGTACGGACAGTACAAGAACAAGGACCACCAAACTCTTTCGAGATGCGTTTCATGGATTTTAAAGATTAGAAATTTTAAATATATCACAAAAATACTAATTAAATTGTTAATATAACTTATCCACACACACATATATATATATATATATATATATATATATATATATATATATATATATATAATGGGGCGATTGTCCGTGGTCGTTTGTGTTGTTTGATGTGTAGGGCATAAAGAATTTTAGAGTTTATAAATTCCAAAGGCAAGTGGAGTGGGGAGGGCGGACTTCGGGTCATTTTCCCTTGGCCCATTATCCATTTATTGTCACGTCACAACCACTCTCTTATTTTCATTTCCTTTTCCTACGTATTTTTCAAAATAATACGGTCAAATGGACTACTATATATATCTATGACGCATATATGTATGAATCTATATATGACGTATATATGTTTGTATCTATGTAGCAAGTCTCATGCATTTATGTATGCAGGCATATATTTTCTACGTAATATCCAAATAGAAAAAAACATGACAAATTGAGGAATTGTTTATTAAAACTTTGAGCCAATCAAAGTATTAAATCAACACATGAATAATATTTATAATACATGATACTTGCTATGTTTTGCAACGTTAAACTTATATATCCAACATGGAGTTTACATTTTTTATGTTTATTTTTATCACCTATAAATCCATAAATATTTCTTTTTCAAGTGTCAGATAAAGTTATTCAGATAAACCAGCTAAAAAAGCCACTCCCGTCGAAGGTAACCATGATGATCCATATATGAACTGGGCCACCGTGAACCGGCTAGCCTCTATGGTTGAAGTGATCACCCGATATCCTGGCCAAGTCACTCGTTGTCCAACGGCTCCACCCGGGCCATAATTCATGTACTCACCGTAGTACAACGTGTCAAGTGCGAAAGTTGCATTCCATTCTAGCCAACCTTTGGGGTAAATGTGGTCACCCATGTAAGTTAACATGTAGACGGTCCGAGAATAAAGTTTCCACGGCCGGCCAAGATACGTCTGAAAGCTAGCTTTTGAAGCCTCGAGATCTGGTTGGGCCAAGAGCCGGCAAGCGTGGATTGAGATCCCGGTGTTTTGATTTGGGTCTTTCCGGTTTTGGGCGGTGATGGTGATCTTTTGTTGGAGCATGGGCTTTCGGGCATACATGCTGCAGTTTTGGAAAACGACAGCAGCATTGCCGAAAATGAAATCGACGGTGCCGTAAATGTCACATTCACGGAAGAATTGGCGTTGGGAGTGGACGTATAACGTGTCTTGGTACCCGATGATGTTGCAGCGGTAGACGACGGCATGGTCCGCACCAACTCGTAGTGCGACGGCTTGGTGCTTGGACGGGCCCGCATAGTTCTCGAACGTCATGTCCCTTGCAATAAAACCAGCACCGGTGGCGGCTGTTTTGAGAATAAAAAAGATCAAACAGTCAACATTATATCATTAATTAACAAGATTTATTATTCTAAAAAACACGATTCAAATAAATAAATATAAAAAGTATACAACCAAAATCAAATGTCTTTATATGAAAATAACTTTTATACAAGTTTATTTTTTTAAAATTAAAAGAAAAAAGAAAACAACAACAACATTGAAGGTGGGTGTTGGTTATATTATATGATTCAATTAGACCAAAATATTTAGTTGCATTGGATACCAAAGGGACCTACAAATAATGTGAGTCTATTAATGTTTTTGCCTACAATTTCTAGCCATTTATTTTATTTTATTTTATGTGTTGAATTTAATAAAAAGAAGGAAAAGATAATAATGAAAGGGGCAAAAGGGTGATCTTTCATCTTAGTTCCTTCCTTGCATGTAATAATTGCAAACTCTAGAATAATGCCCAATTTTGGAAAGAAGCGGGGTACTCAATTACCTTTTTACCCAAAACGACAGAGGGTAATTTTGTCAAACGACTAAAGGAAAGTAGCATGTGAACATGAAAACGACAAAGGGTTAGAAATATAATTACCGAAAGATGCGGTGTGGAAAGTTGTGACATTGTTAGCCACCACACTTATTCCTCCTGTGATGACCGTTTTGCCCTTTCCATCCCCTATGAACATTAAATTCGTCTTCTTCCTCCCAACCTTCAAATTATTCTCCTCATACCTACATCCGTTATCCATCATAATTATATATTTTTTAAATTTATGCAATAAAAAGATGACATACGACAAGTGTCCTAATCCGTTATGGAATTATAAGAAAAGATGTCACACGCTTATTTATTTCGATGTCAGATTAAATCTTACATTAAAAAAAAATCCAAATCCAAATCATATGATTGACAATGTCATAATCATACCCATCAAATTTCTTTAATTTAAAAGAGCGTGTATGTGTATATATATATATATATATATATTTATAACTGAAAAGTCAAAAAAAGTATATAAATAAGTAGTATGTACCCATAATTAAGTTTGATTGATAATTATTATTACGTATCTAATCTGGAATTGCCCATAACTCAAAGGATGGCCCTATTTTCATTTTCTGAATACCTAAACTTGTACTTTTTTATTTCAATAAAAAGTTGTTCTTATTTTTTTGAGTCAGTAAATAAATAAAAAGTAGGGGCATTAACCATTAATTAACCATTTCATATTTATATTCATAAAAGTAATCGACATTTAATAAGTGATGACGATGCATGTGTGCAAACTTCAAAAAGTTATTTGGTTTTTTACCTTCCTGCCCTCACGTAGATTATGATCCGTCGGCTACTGTGTTCCGGCGCCTTCTTTATCGCCTCGGCGATGGTCGTACACGTCCCATTTCCGTCCTTCGACACCACTATGTCTGCTTGGATTCCGGCCACCGGCATCTGAAGCAACATTCTCTCTTTTCTACCCAACCACTTTGGAAATGACATTAACCTCCTCCGCCGGTGCTGTATGGGAACTCCGTTGAAATCATCACCGTCACTCGCCGCCGCGTATATCGCCAGACAATTGCTCACCAGTTCCGACAAGTCCTTTAACTTCTCCTCCATCTGCTTTTTCACATACCCGTTCTCCACCTCCGACAACCCGTCCGTACACGTGTCCTGGTTCGTCAACGCAGCGCTGAGCCACGTCATCACATCCTGAGTCGACCCAACGTGTTGCCCTTTTTTACTACTGTCCGCCGGAGCGACGGAGAACAGCGAGCGTGACAGCTGATCCACTGAGTCCTCAAGTAGTTCGAGACAATCCTCGTATGCCGAGCGTACACGTGTATCCATCTTCAGATTACTGATCTCGGCCGACGTGTACAACGCTTTCCCCACGCGCTGCAGAGTCATGTTCATCGAAATGTGGATCATGTCTTTGTCCGACGCACCGAGTGATCCCGGAAATTTAAGCAGCGAGTTGAGGCACAAATTCTGGTAACGAGTCCGGCCACAAACTCGTGACATAGCTTCCGTTGGGCGGGGATGGACGACGGACTGTGGTCCTCCGCCGGAATGTTTAGGTCCGAAACGCGCCACCAGTCCCACCGACACCGCCGACACGACAATGAGAGTGAATGCAAAGATGAGAAGAAGCTTAATTTTGGAAGTAGAGTTGGTTGAGTGGGGGGCGTAGTTATTGGGAGTCAATGGAGCATCGGGTCGGTTCTTTCCGGGCTGATACTTTCCAAGACGGCCATATTCCATGTTTAATTGAGAGGGGAAGGGGAAGGGGAAGGAAGATGATGGAGAAAAAAGAGTGTGTGATCTGTGTGTGTATATATGGAGCAGGCGGCAGTAGTTGTGAAGTCGATGTCGGAAGCCTTAGCTGGTGGCAACTACTTGCACCCAATTATCCACTCCTTGCCTCTTTCACCTTTTATTTTCCTTCACTTGTGTGTTTTATTCATACGAAAAATAAAACCCAAACATTCAAATTCTGTTTTCATCCTCCACCGATTCCTATTCCTATTCCTATTCCTATATGTTTAATCATAAATAAATAAATAAATGATGGTGACGTATGTAATAGTCATCTTTTGTTTTCATGTATTCATCAATCAAAATTTAAAAATAAACCTCTTTTATAACCCTAAAAAGGCTATGCTTTTTTTATTTTTATTTAGTGTCTCTTGTTTAAATCTTGATGTATGCAAACTTAACTCAATCACTTGGATGTTTTCATTCATGCAAACAACATACCATGTTCTTATGAACAAAAAATGTATCTTCTATAATTGGAGAGAATCTTTATAAAAGAATTTCACATTCTTTAAAATGTTATACAAGAATCTAGATTTTTACCTTCAACTTAGTGTGAAAGGACTTTAATTTATAGTATACATGGGACCTCTAAACGGGTTCTTATAATAACTACCATCATGTAGTTTTATATATGTTATTGATTTATGAGCTGTTTGGTAATTGCTGAATGGTTTTGTGCAGAATAATTAAGTGGTCAGAATAATTAACAGGCTATCATGATATAGTGCAAAATAAAATATAATTGTTTGGTAATTGTGTACAATGGAATTAGGGCTCTTAATGGTTAAGAGAGATCCATGATACAAATTCATTCAGAAAGTTTTAGAACCATTAAAAGACAGGAATAGAAGATGAAAATGACGCGACAAGAGAAAGTACAAAAAACAAGTTTAAAAAAAAAAACCCTACGTTGAAGATGCTTATAGAAACTATCAATTGGGAGAGTTTTTATATAAGAACCTCCCGTTCTTTAAGTTCTTGTATAAGAATCTAAAACTTGGTATGAAGTGATGTTTTGTTGGTTTTTTATATACTTTATTGACTTGATTATTAATGTCTATAGTTGAAAAAAAATACATGAATTGAATGGTGTGGGAGCAAACAATGTGATTAAATAAACATATGATACAAATGAAGAGTAATGTAGATAGCAAGTTAAACTAAAGGTTTGTAGTTTTGCTACTATTATCAACCCTTTGAATTTCTTCTTTTGGAATACCAAAATGTGTGTAATTTGATACTTTTGGTTTTTTATTGCAAACCTTTGATTGAACTAAAAGCTTCTTCAAATGGATTGTCGGCAAAGCCTTTGCTTTTTAACATTCAAAAGCCAAGAGAATCCTCAATAATTTCAAATAGTTTTGCCCCTCCAGCATCAAAAAATGTCATAAATTATCATATCTAGCTATCATCGTATGATATTTTCGTCAAATATTTTTCTGTTGTGCACTGAAAATTGTGCATTCAAGTCTATGGGTCCTGTCACTCATGTGGAAGGGAATGGTGGTTCCGTGTGGCTCAAGAAACACATTCACATTATCACCATTGTTGTTGCCATTGTGGATGGGGATCGATTAAATGAAAACCGACATCAGTGTTTTGCATCAATGATCTACATACATTGAGTTTGAGTCTTTGATTTTTAGGATGCACATCCATATTTGTTGAATGACCATGCCAGTCTATGAGCTTTTGATTGAATCAATTATAGTTTGCAAGATTTGGATGAAAAGGATGTCGTAGCATGAACATATTAATTAATATCATTCAAAAGGCTACTCGTAGGACGTATATAGATATATTTTTGTGTGTGAAATTATCGGTTTATTTATTAAAATCATTACGCATATGAAATTGAATATAATGTAACGAAACGGCTTATGTTGACAACAATTATAAAGTCGGGTGAGGTGTAGTATTCGACAGATGGCCATTGATCGATGGACCCAGCTTAAAGAAAAGAAAGAATAGTCTTGTCGTAGTGAGTCAATGGTATTCATGACCAAGTTAGAACTGAGTTGGGGAATGGTCTTGACGAGTTGGCTCTGAGCTTGGTCAACGAGTTGGATGTGAGTCAACTGGAATGAATTAAAACTCAAATCAAAGAGAAACAGTAGGTGCGGAAAAAGAATGGACGGGCCCTATGTCAACAGCTGGAGCTTGGAATGATGCATTAAATATTAAGGTGGAAAGAATGTCTTGAAATAAGATAAAAATGAATATTAATAAATTGTTTGTTTTACATTTTTATTAAATTTTAAGTTTGTAATTTATAATTGTATATATAAATTTTCGTTTGAACTTTGTAAAATGGTAATTAATCAAGTGATAAACACGATAAAATATAAAAAAAAAAACTCACGTAAATAGTCATTTTGACCTACAAAAATTCACTTCCTAGTTATTGTTCTTTAATTTTACAATTTTATTTATACATCCGCAAGTGTATTTGACCCAACTTATGAAGGGTGCATTGATAAGTAAAAAATGCGAGAGTGGGGCATGATGATTTAAAAAAAGGGAAAATTGAACCAAAATGGAACCAACTTTCATCTAATTCTTATTTTGGGAAACCAACTTTCAAAATCGTCATTTTGGAGAACCAACTTGCACCTGATTCCTATTTTGGGGAACCAACTTGCAAAATAATTATAGAAAAATAACTAAAATTCATTTTTTTCCAAAAATTAATGCAATAAAATATATTTTTCATTTCAAATCTCGTTTTTTTAATTCAAATATCAAATTGAACATTTAAAAAAAAAATCCAAATTATCACAATAAAAATTATTTTTTACTAATGCAAAAAAAATCAATTTAATAGAAAAAAAATTAATTGATGCAATTGGTGAGATATAAAAATCTTGAATGTGATATTTAATATTTATTTTTTATTGCATCAATTAATTTTTTTCTATTAAATTGATTTTTTTTGCATTAGTAAAAAACAATTTTTATTGTGGTAAGTTGGATTTTTTTTGCAAATATTCAATTTGATATCTGAATTAAAAAAAAACGAGATTTGAAATGAAAAATAGATTTTATTGCATTAATTTTTGGAAAAAAACGAATTTTTGTTATTTTTCTATAATTATTTTGCAAGTTGGTTCCCCAAAATAGGAATCAGGTGCAAGTTGGTTCATCAAAATGACGATTTTGCAAGTTGGTTCCCCAAAATAGGAATCAGGTGCAAGTTGGTTCCCCAAAATGACGATTTTGAAAGTTGGTTCACCAAAATAAGAATCAGGTACAAGTTGGTTCCACAAAATAGGAATCAGATGCAAGTTGGTTCCACAAAATAGGAATCAGATGCAAGTTGGTTCCACAAAATAGAAATCAGATGCAAGTTGGTTCCCCAAAATGACGATTTTGAAAGTTGGCTCCCCAAAATAGAAATTAGATGAAAGTTGGTTCCATTTTGATGCAATTTTCCCTTAAAAAAACAACTAAACTTATAAATTTATCCAGTTGTAGCAAGGGTACTTGCAGTAAGGCAAGAAAAAAACAAATAAACTCCATTTGTGACAAGACTACTTATAGTCTTTCATTTTTATATAATGTACTATCAGTAACTCACGGCAAAGACACTTACGGTAGCATCTACAAAGTGATAAAACTGCGAAAAGAATGGTTATGAGATGAATTGTGTCGTTCAAAATGACCTTCAAATATATGCAAAAGACGATGAATTCGACTAATACAACATAGTACTATATAAATTTCATAATTTTTTTAAATAAAATACTATATTAATTTTTCATTCTTGATTTATAAGAAAAATTCACATCATGTCATGTTATATGGATACACAATTAGTAATTAAACATTTTAATTAATTAAAAATATCATTATATATAAAAATATACGTTACTTTAATGACACGTGTATACAAAAAAACAAACAACCTTTTTAAAATATGTTATATAACTATATCATTGGAAACATTTAAAACCAAACAAATCAAAAACAAAATAAATTATTTCATTATTAAATTTAATTTAAATTTACCAAAATGTTAATTATTTTTTTATAAAAAAATATTTATTAGATCAAAAATAAATTACTTCATTATTAAAAATAATTTAAATTATAATAAAATTTAAATTTAAAAAAAATTACACAAAAGAAAACAAACACTTTTAATTATTTAATTTGATACTAAAATCGATACATTTTTTTTTCAAAAAATTATGATACCTTCATATTTATATTTTATTCAAAAAATAAAAACATTGTCGTTTTTTCAGTGCCACATAAAACCGTATTATAACATCGACTGAGACAGAATAAAACGAAACATTAAAATACAAATGCATCTCATTGCATTGCATAAGTACCCTTCTAATGGATTTAAAATATTATTGGAATTAAAGAAAACCATTTTATTTTCAAAGGTAGTTAGTTGAAAATTTGAAAATTTTACATAAAGTTCGACCACTTTTTGCTATTTTATTATTGTTAAAGTATCCTAGAGATATATTATGAGGAAATAATAACAAAATAAAGAAGGTGAAATTGCTAGAGTTTAAAACATCATTCTAGAAAGAACATAATACTTGATTGGTTGTCTTCATAATTTAGATGCTGTTTAATTTAGTTTGTTTGTTTGTATTCTGTATTATGATTACTAAAAATAATTCTTTATATTATAAAGAAATTGATAAAAGTTTTTTTAAAACAATTTATTAAATATCA